CCATGTTCAAATGGCAGCAGATTATTACTAAGGCGTGACAACAGCAATCCCATAAGAAAAAGAATCACAAGCTTTCACATTTGGTTCCTTTCAAGCAAACTTGGTATATGAAGACACATAGCAGCAGTCCAGTCGCAAGTGCATTGTTATCAAATGAAGCATCAAAACTCTGTCTTCCAAAATCAGCTTTACAGTGATCAGGGATTTATTATATTAAAAATAAATAATAGCACTTTTTAAACAGGATTCCTTTCTGCCTTTTCTATGTCTGCCATTTTCTGTATTTATCTGTGGCTCTGTTCTATCTCTCTGGAAAACCAGCAGCATGTTGCTTCTGTTTGCTCCAGAATCTCCAGTTTATCTACAAAACCCAAACCTCAGCCTCAGTGCAGTGTTCCCATCCATCCTCTAATACCTAACATAAACAAGCATGTTTTCTCTCTGAATAACCCTTTTCAATTCATTCTTCACCTCAAACAGCAGGGGAAATAAATTTCCATTATTCCCCCGCACGTCCCTGTTCAGCAGCGCTTCATTGTGCTCGCTGTAATGTGACTGTAATCTGCTGCTGTGTATGAATGGGGCTTTATCAGAGTGGGGGAAAGTGTCTTCTTACAGGTTGTGTTGCACTGGGTATTGAGCTCATTAAATGCTCTCTAATTCACTCTCTTCTGCCGTCGTCCGCGGCTCCGTGGCACCATTCAATTATTATTCAAATGGAAGAGAATGCACTCGACGGAAGCCCGCCGAGACGCCGCAGTTTTTGTGACTGAGACCGAGCGCTGCTTAAGGTTGTGCTTGAAAAAGTTGAAAATCAAAAATGCATTTTGTGTTCAGCGGCTGTGACGTGGCTCACAGACCCGTGAACGGTGAAGGCCTCCAGAGAAAGAATTTAGTCCCCAGTAACTGCTCCATTGTTTATTTAGGCTGAGTGAATGTTAAAGGTCCCATGAAACGGCTTTCACATCATACTCTTCAGTCACCATTTGGTGTGATGTACCAAGACACGGCGTGCTGGGGGAGAGACTTGGAGTCCAAAGAGATTTTAGTATTGTGAATGTATAAATTTTAAAGCAGCTGTAATGCTTTTTTCTCTCAAATTAAAATGTAAAAAAACATCTGTCTATCAAAAGGGACTTTGGTCGGGGGGTTCTCGCCTTCAGGAGAATATCCCTCGGCCGTCACCTAGAGCTGTCAAGTTGGGCTTTGCCATCAAGGAATTAAAAGCAGTTTGGATATGACTATTGAGGACAGGGAAGTGCTTGGAGCGTCTGTGTTGAGACTGATAAAGTGTTGAGCCTGAGTCTTGACACAGCTCTTGTTTCAGGAGTGGCACCTCACGACTACCCCACGTATCTACTACAGAAGCATCCCATTATGTAGGCAGGCAGGCTGGCGACGTGAACACGTGTGAACGCAGTAACTCGAGAATGAACTGGTGTAGGAGTTTCAAATTGATACCATAGGAGCATCTACTTTAAGTTCAAATCTCTGTGACCTCACCCTCAAGGTCAGAGGTCAAGCTATCTAAAAACAAGGCAATGTAAGGTTTTGAAATTCATAGCACTGCAGGTGTTACTTCAGAAACATTCATCACCGTCATTATCAGGGAACCGTGAAAGATGCTGAAAGAAATGGAAAGAAATAGTATACCTTAGTTCTGTACCATTCATTCTTCCAGGACACTTGCATGTCCATCTGAAGTGCAGGGCTACAACTCCGCTCTACACTGAATATGTCTGGGGGAAAATGAATGAGAAATGTACTTATACAACACAGCTTTATTCACCTTGAAGGACCCCTGCGGTTGAGGTCATAGTTGGGATTTAGATCAATTTCTTGCATATAACAGCTGATTAAAGAAGATAAGACAAACAGTAGTTATCAGTAAGATACAGATACAAACCTCCGCCTTTGATACTGTGGACCATCATATTCTGCTAGATAGGCTGAGACACTGGGTGGGTATATCAGGGGCTGCTTTGGACTGGTTTGAATCCTATTTGCATGAACGATACTTTTCTGTGGCTACCTCTAAGTACAGTTCCTCTTCTACTTTTCTTGC